ATATATATATGGTTTTACATTGTTTATACCACACTATTATTGTTATATTATTGTTTACTAATATGTATTAATTAAAAAAGCTATTTCGCTTTAATTTTTTCAAATAAATAAATAAAAATTAGTTCTTTGAAATTAGTATTTCTATGTAGAATAACTTTTGTTTTAAGTTTAATAAAAAAAACAAATTTTTAAAAGTTTGATAAATATTTCATGACTAATTCAATTATTTTTATATATAAAACTTTTACCTCGATTGGCTCATTTTGGTTTCAATTTTTTGCATATCAGACATAATTATATTACTATTAGTATCAGTTTCATTTAACTGAAACTTTAATCCGGTAAGTTCATCTTCAATCGTTTTGATTTGAAGAAGCAAATGGTTACGCTGATTTTGAATTTCCAATTTAGATTTTTCATTTTTGAAATAACCTCCAGATAAAGTTCCTTTAGATGATACCTACATTTAATTATAAAAAATACATAATAATATACTAATTTGAACAAATAATATAGTACTGTACTTTATCACCATCAATAGTAATACAATCAAATGTATTTTGTTTAGCAATCATAATAGCAACTTCAAGATTACGACAAATTAATGTTTTTCCAAACACAAATCTCATAGCTCTATCTAAGTGTGGTTCATATTTTAATTTATTAACCATTGGAATAGCATCCTTAAAATGTACAATAATCTTATAAGAATACACAAAAGATAATTTATTTCTAAAATACTAACTTTAGATTGTGGGTATCTCATATCACGTATAGTTAATCTATTAAGTGGCATAAATGTTACTTCTCCTGGCAAATTTTGATGATTCATTTCCTTTAGTATTTGAGTACTAATTCTGTCAGATTCAACTATGTGGAAAAATAGTCTGAAATAAATCCATGTAAATATTATTGTCCTCAATTTTTAAATGAAGTTATTTAAATGATAAATTTTAAGAAATTACCTTCCGCCAGCAGTAACTTCAACTGCTGTTTGAATATTTTTATCACATTTAACATTTTCAATTACTTGGCCATAATACTGTGAAGCATCATCAAGATATGCTCCACCTCTTTGTTTAAATACATCCAATACTTTCTTAATACTATCTCTTCCATTCAATATAGCCTAAAAATTATTTCAAACTTTTATTAAAAATGATTAAAATAATGCAGTTATTTAAAAAAACTAACAAGAAAATTTCAAGTAATTAAGTTATATTTTGACCAAACAAAGTTTATATATTTTATTAGAATTACACAATGCAAGTTTTAAATTTAAGTAACAATGTAAGCATTCAATTTTAATTATATATATCATAATATATATATATATATATATATATTGGTACAGTATTTTTAATGACAATTTATTTTATGGGTAACATTTTAGATGTGAATGAAATAATAAGAAATAGTATTTTATTCTTGGATAATAAATATATGAATAGTGTGAAAAAATTTGAGTCACTATTTTTTATAATTGAGATTTTGGTGTCAAAAAAATTCATATGATCAATACTGGTAAAAGAAAGTTAGTTCTAAGTTTAACCCGTAGAAATTTTTAACAAACTGGAAAATAACCAAGTCAAAATTGAAACGTTGTAAATCAACATAAATTTAAATGTTACAATTTAAACATGGTAATTTTGTGTGTTAACCAGTTATAAGATAAAAAAATCCAAAAATTACAATATTTTGAGTATCTTGCATGCCTGATTCTTTTCCTTTTGTTTTTTTCTCTTTTTAGGTTACTTAATTGTTTTTTTTTCTATAAGTTTTAATAAAATTACAAAAAAGGGTAGCTTTTCCATTATATTTCAGTATAAATTTTATTAAAGGTACACATAACTTAATTAAGTTTACTACATAAAAAATCATCACATTCATTCAACTTCATTAGAAATTTTTAGTTAATTAAAATCTTTTTTTGGAATTTTAAATTTAAAGGTTGGTACAGCTAATGAATGTGCACTCTCTCTGCCCATGCTTTATACTTATATATTAAAATGCTATAACAGATTATCTATAAGTAATGAAAATTAGAAGAACAAATTATTAAAAAAATGTTTAGGGATTCCCATAATAGAAAATTAATGTTTAAGTTCTTTATCCTTAAAAGAATGACAAAAAAAAATATTTAACGAAATATATTATTGTAGTTTTTTAAATCTTACAATTTTTTTATCCATTAACAAAAATTTTTAATTTTAATAGTTTTCAAGAAAATAAATATCTTATCTTTAATTATTCACCCTGTTTATGTTGGGTATAAAAATTTTATTTATAGATAAAATAATAAATAACATAATTCATAAGAACATAAATTAAAATATATTTTCTTAATTCAATACTTTTCCTGCTATATTACGTAATGCTTGATCAGATTTGGCCAATTCTTCTTTCACTGAGGATAAATTATGTTGTAATGCATTTTGTTGCCGCCACAATTCACTAAATTTTAAAAAGTACTTTAGTTTTTAACTATTAGTAGTTTTAATAAAATCTTTATGTGTTATCAAACTTTTTAAAACTTTGAAGCTGGTTTTTTGAATTTTTGAATTTATAAAAATTTGTATTATATGAGTCAATAGCAGCTCTTTGTTTTTCCAGTTCAACTAGATTAGCCTAAATAAATAAATAGTTTTTAAGGCAATGTTATACTTTGTACATTATCAAACAAATATGTAATACAATATGATTTAAGTATATTTTATGATATTAATAGTATACAATTAGAAAAATACTTATATCAAATTCATTACTAATAAATTTAACCTCCATTTTTTAATTTAATAGTTATTACAATCAAAATTCTTCTAAAATAATTTTGTAAAACATTAACAACCCATACTTATTAGTTACCTTAATTTTCAATTCAAGTTCATGATGTCGTTTTTCATAATGCTGTATATCATTAACTAACTTTTCTTTATGGTCAATTTTGTTTTCAAGTTGCTTTTTTAAAGATCTACGTTAAATAGAACAGAATTAAATTCTAATATTTTCCATAATCATTTTATTTCTATTAATAAGCAATAAATAATTTGACACAAAGTAAATAATAAAGAATTTTGAAATAGACTAAATTCTTTATTATTGGAATTAGTTCAACCGACAGCTCCATAATATTCCCATTTCATAATAATTATAACCAATAAGAAATTATTACAATTTCAAAGCTAACTTACAAATAAAAAATAATAGCTTTATTCTAAAATAGTTAGATTTTATTGGAAAAGGGGATTTTTATAATAGTCTCTTCAACTAAGATATTTTTTAAGGCGATACAAAATTAAAACATTATCATATTGAAGATTAATTGTTAACGTAATAGTTATAAATAAAAATGAAATTGTAAAACTACTAGTTATGCATTTTATTATAATAATAAAACTATAGTAATTATTTTTAAAATATATTATTATTATCTCAAAACAATTTTAAGTAATTTTTAAAATATAAAGAAAAACTTTTTTATACTTGAGCTCATTTTGTATCCATTCGTTACGTGCCTCTTTTGATAAGAATTGACTTCCTCTTCCTTGTTTAGCATACAAATGTTTTTGTTTATGCTCTTTTAACACTAATCTAAATATTATAAAATAAAATACATTTGTAATGAATACTTTCATTTGATTTTATTAAATATTTGTGAAAGTTTAAAATTTGATGTCTATGAAACTATTTTTATACAATTGTATTTGTTGTGGAAGACCAAACCCCCTTCATTCCTAGTTTAATTTAATTCCTTTTTTTCTCATACATTTTTCAGTTTTTTTTTTTTTTATATTGTTATGAAAATAATATTTTCTAAAATAATTTTTCAAAAAAATTTTTTATTAGATTGCCTAACTATTATAGATATCTCATTAATATCAATCTTAAAATTACATTAAAGTTGATAATACCATTGAATTTATATTACAAAATAAAAAATTAACAAGATTAACCTTATTAGTTAACTACTAAAAAACTAATAATTTTTATCAAACAAAAAATTTTTATTTATGAACTAATTTTTAATCTTACACTCTAGAACATTCCTCTTCTTTTCTTTTAAGGTTTTCATACTTAGGTTTTATGTTTAAAAGTTCATCCTCTTTCTTTTTAATTGAATTTTGAAGTTTCTTCAATTCATTTAATGCTTGTTTCTGTAATATAGATAAAAAGTATAATAAAAATATGAATAATTTAAAGCAAGATATTATACACAGTTATTTTGTAATCAAAAACCATCAATTACTCATAAAGTCAATATAATTTTCCGTGTTCATAAATTTCTTGTTTATATTTAATAAATCAATAACTAAGTAACATATTATTATATATAAGGTGTTCAATAAATATAGTTAAAAAAAAAACTATATTTATTTTTCACTTTTTAGTTTTTTATGGCATCGCTGTCACCGTCACAGAGTGTTTATTGTCAATTATGACTAGCAATGGAAATAATTTCTGTATTGCCAGTTAGTGTATTTATAAGCTCACAACAATGTATTTCTTACCATTAATAATAAAGGCTATATGCTTGCGAATATCGTAATAATAATAAAGAAAATTTGCTACCTATATTTGTGATCCCTTATGTATTATAAGTGTACTTACTTATTGAACACTAATATACTTTTTAAAAAAATCTTAATAAGTAAATGACTGGTCAACAATTTTTGGACATTAACACTTTAAATTATAAACTCAAGAATAATAAACAAATTATTTTATTTTTAATATTACATTGCTTCGATTCTCCTACCTATTTGAGATCTTACATACATACACTTCTAAGATATATTTTAATAATTAATATTTTTTCAACAAACTTTTGATTTATTATCACCATCAACTTCTTCAGTCAAATCTTTTATAATTAATTTCAACTTCATTTTTTGTTTCATCAACTCTTGATATTCTAGGCTAAGCGCTTCTTTTTCTTCAATGACGGTATTGACTTCTCTTTTAACATCACGCAGACATTTTGCAACTTTTTTAATTTGATCAGTTGCATCTTTAAGCTTAAATACAAATTGTGTTTGTTTCTCATCAAAACTTTTAATACTTATATTTAACTAAAACAAATTTATATTATTATTATAATTTATTTTTTTTTTTTAAATCAAATACCCTTAAGTAAAATTTACTTTATCATGCTTTTTTTTTATTTCTTTCAATTCTCTGTCGTATATATAAAATTCTAAAGCTCTTCTTTTTTTATCCCATGTTTGATATTCTCTAAGTTCTTCTTTTTCTTCTTCCAATGTTAAAAATTTTTCTTCAATCATATTAATAAATTCATCAATTTTTTCTAATTTTGCTTGAGTATCTATACATGAATAAATATAAAATAGTCTAATATCTTAATGAATTACTCAAAAAATCACTTAAACTTCATAAATACCTCTCAATATACTAATGGCTTCATCTTTACGTTCATCATAAATTCGAGTTCCAGCTACTTCTTTTAAAAGTTTCAATCGATCAGAATCAGGAACAGTAGTCATCTCACTAACCTAAATAAGATTATTACAAGATTTTTCTACAATGAGCTATATCTATTTAGAATAAAAACAAAGATATTATAACATTATTCCAAATACCCAATGAATTTTTTTTTTTTTTTAAATATATGAATAATAAATAAATGAAGTTTATGTAAAATAGAAGTGACAATTACAAAATAATACGACAATTAACATTAAAATAACTTAATTATTTGACTATGCCTCATACAATATATTTAAAAATATAAAAATAATTAACAAGTTTATATTTTCAAAAATTGATAGATTATTTGCTTGCTTAATTTTTTAAAAGAAATCATACTCTATACCCTCTCCTCATCTTAATCCTTAAATCTTATATTAATTAAAATCTTCAATTCAAACATAAATTTAACTAGTTTAATAGTGGAAAAATATGAAGATATGAAATAAGAAAATGATTGCTTGATAATAATTTTTAAAATATTATTTTAGAAAATATTATTACTTTTACATCAAAATAAGAGTATTACTGCATAAAATGCTTAATATTAAAAATAATCACCCGAGTTATATCTTTACCTTCATTTTGAAATGTTAATATCTTCAAAAATATTTTTTTTTATTATTGTTTTTTTTCCAGATAGCGCATTTTTTATAATTAAAAACATAAAAAAAAGCCTTGTTCTAAAGCCTATAACTTCACATCCAAATAAGCTATCTCTGCGGAACTAGCACTGTTTTACTCATATTAAATAGTACTTCAATTTCATTCTTGATTTTATGAATTTTGAATTTTTTTTTAATATCGAAATCTTGATCTAAATTTTTTAAATTTCACAGTATTTTGAATTAAACTATATTTTAGAACAATTCATAAGGAAATTTATAATAACAATTATTCTTCATTACACATAAAATATAACACATTTTATTATATTTTTAGAATAATATAATTATCTAAAATACAAAATATTTGAAAAAATTACGTGTTTAAAATAAGCTGCTTACAATGGTATGTAGTATTTTATTTTCGTGTAGAATGTAAAAAATAAAAATAAAATGTTGAAAATTACGTAGTTTGTGGATTTTTCATAATACGCATATTGTAAATTTTCTAAGTTCTATAAGCGGCGTTCAAATTATTTCTCCATCATTAAATTTTCATAAGATATTTAAATTGCCTAAAGGTAAGTACTATGTAAATTTGGAAAAAATTCGTTCAGTCACTTTTGTGTAATGAGATGATAAATTTGGCTATTTTTAACAAACCATGCATGTTCACGACCGTAAAACAATACAAAAAAATTTATAAATCGATTCAAATATGATATGGGTTAAAATAACATAACTAAAAATTTTATTGAATAGAAAAAAAAAATTGTATTAAAATATTTTTTGACCTTCAAATTTTGCTATAAAATACTTCGAAATTTAAAAAATTTAAATCAAAATTTCGATGTTAAAAAAAATTTTAAATTCATAAACTTAAGAATGAAATTGAAATACTATTTAATGAGTAAAACAGTGCTAATTCTGCAGTGATAGCTTATTTTGATGTTAAGTTAAAGGCTCTAGAACATAAGCTATTTTTAATTTAAAAAAATGCGCTATCTGGTAAAAAAACAAAAATAAAAACAAAAATAAAAAAAAAAATTTTGAACTATAGCAGCACACGTTAGGTGATTTTACATGGAATGATCCAGCATTATGTAGTTTTATAACCCTTTGAAAAGACAAATCATATATTGTTTTATATTTTTGAAGATATAATGCGAGGCATAGTTTGTCAATCACCCCCTGTAGTATAGTTGTTATATGTCTTATGATTCATACTTTTCCTTGTTTAACAATATAATAAGGATTTGAATGTGAAAAACCAGCAGATTCTAATAAATTTGTGACTTCTAAACGCTGGACCATTTTTTTATTTAAAAAATATTGATCTTTTTTTGCACCAATTACTCTTCGTAGTGTGATTTCATCTCTCTCAATCTTAACAAAATTAAATATTAAGTAAAATTGTAATGAATTATACATAAATATATTATAATAATATATGCAACATTATAGTGCAATATTAACTTTAAATTTAATTTAGAAATGCAATAATTTCAAAAAAAAAAAAATAATAAATAATAAGAGAATAGAAAATAACTAGTTATCAGTTGGATCTATTCCACCTGGTAAATAGTATTAAATGAAATTTTTGTAAAAATTATTACGGGTAATCGATTATCAGCATTGTCAAATATAATTTCTACATATGCTGTAACTACTCTAGGACCCATTCCTTCATGAAGCAAAGCTTGTCTTTGCTCAGGGCGTAAGTTTGAAAATTCATCACTAAGAACAAACTGTATAGCTAAAAAAATGTATCATTATATTAATACAAGAATTGCCTTAAATAATAAAAAAAAATTCATAAAAATATATACTTCACCACTAAAAAAGTTACTTTTTCCAGATCCATTACGGCCCACTAAAAATAAAAAATTTTATCTTAGATGCTACATTCAAACTTTTTTCAAATTTGCAACATAAATATTGTGTATATTGTTGCTTAAAGTTCAATAATGTGTATCTCAATAAGAAAAAAAATGAGATTTTTATCAATAACGATAAATTAAATATATTTTTTTGAAAGACATATAAATTTATAGTATGATATACAAGTAAAATCAACTCTTGTTATAAACATTTTTACAAATAAGTGGGAGAGTGAGGCAAAAAAATATATAGAGATAAAAATAGCAGTACCCATTCCTCCTATTATATTGCTACTTTAAATTGTTAATCATTTTTGAAATACTGTTCCAAAAATAATTTTCAACCAATCATTTTCTTAATTAAATAATTTTCTGTTTTATTAACTGGTTAAATAAACATGTTTCCATTAAAAAAAATAAAGTTGACATTTCTATAAGACTTAAGGGATGAACATAAAAAATATTTTAACAGATAAATAGATACATATGAAAATAACAAGACACAAAATAATTATTGTTTTAAGAGAAATTGAATAGCTAGTGTTAAAAGAATCACCTTGTACAAATAAGTGTAAAATAAGATCCAGTTACCCACCATTTTAATAAATTAAATTCAATAAAATATGTGAATAAAAATTACCTACCTACAACATTGAGTCCTTTATCAAAGGTTTCAACGATAATTTGTTCTTTAAAGCTCTTAAATCCATGAATAATGATCTAGAATTAAAAAAACAATTAATTATTAAATTAGTATTATAAATAGTATTGATACAAGTTTAACAAGTAAGAAATGGATTCCTATGCATTTATAAATTTTATTAAGTTTTTCTGAACACATTATCAGTGAGTTTAAATTATTATTTATTGACTTAATAGTAATGTGTTACAACTAGGAATATAAATTTGGACAGATTAGTAGGATTAATCTTCTTTAAAACAAAAAATATTTCCATGCTACCATATAATCTTATAACTAATATGCACAAATTTGGGTTCTTCAAAGTGGCTTAATCAAAATTTATGAATGCAATTTAGTATAACAAAAGTAGTTTTAATATATAGAGCATTAATATAAAATAATAATATAAAATTTAAAAATAACATAAATAAGTTATAAATACGCATTAAAAATAATAACACAGCAAAAATGTATAAATAAAGTAAAATAAAAAAAAATGGCATTCAAATTTCATGTATAACTTGGATATTATAACAAGGTATAAGTTCTAAAAAGTATTTTTTAAGATAGCTCAAGTTATTAATAAATTCGCTAGCTCATTACTAGCCTAACAGTCTATAGATAGAAATATCATGACCAAAATATATAAAACCGAAATTATAATGGAATAATATTGTAGATTATATCAAGATCATAATAAAGTAAAATAAAGATAATTACACTAAGGTTTTCAGAGTTACTGATTTAATTGATTAAAATCGTAAAAATGAATGAGGCAAATAAAAGTTTCAAAGGTGAAAGATTAAATTCTCATGTTATGTTAGAAAATGAAGAATTCAAAATAAGCATTTAATTAAACAAAATGTAAATACTACAAATCAATAAGCACCACCAGTTTTTGTCAAAGCAATTAACATACATTTACAGTTTTTGTATTTATAGAAATACAAAAACTGTAATGTTATAGAAACCAGTAATGTTTATCGATAAATGACATGATATTTTGCTACTTTTTAAAAATAAATATGATTCTTGTGATCACTCCTAAACTTTTAACAATTTTAATTCTTTAAAAATCAAACAAAACTAAATCAAAATTTAAAACATCTTTTTTTAATTGAATATAAAAAAAAATTTTAATTGTTTTTTGGAAATTGAAATTTGATATGGCTCTAGGGTATAAAGAATAATAATAGAAGATTAATTTTTCGTATAAAACAGTTCAACAAAGCACCATTGTTGTTAAAAAAATAAAATAATGATAGACTCTTAAGTTTTATAAAATATTTAGTGAGACATAATTAAGGAATTTCCCAGTGTGTATACATGTAAACATAAACATGTAAATACATTACCTAACATGCCAAGAAATATTTTAGTTAATATTTAAAAGTCAATAATTTTCGTAGTTTCCTGTAAATCTATTATACAAATTTAAGTTATATTGAATTTATAATTTATTACTTACCTGTTTAATATACATGTCATAAAATTTAGATAAGTTCAAAAATTACTTAAAATACTTAATTTTAACAAAAAATCTGTTATAAACAGCAATCCATGAACATATAATACCTCGACGTTCACAAACCATTACTAGACTAACAGAAACAAGAAAGGGCGACCATGCACTAATTTCTTTGTATGCGATCGCCAAATTGGAAATCCCGTAGTATGATGTTTTGGCGCGTTTTCATATCTATCGAGGGTCCTGCATGTTCAACAACATCTACAATAAACATGTACTAATTATTTAATTCAATTTTACTACTGTAATATAGTAAAAGGCATAGGAGCTCTATCAGCATTGTATTATTATGTCGTTAGAATAAAAGTAACTTTTTAAACTTGAACTATTTTTTAAATTATTAATTATTATTATAAATCTTAATGTTTGTCAACTAAGTTAAAATAAAATGAATCATTTTTTTAATAATAACATATATGTGCTAGTATACTGGGGACTATAATCGAAATAATATATTTCATGTCTATCAATCAATCATCGTTGAATCTATAACACTAATAAAATTTTACAAGTATTGTTGAAATCTGACAAATATTTTACTGCCCCAAACAAGGTGGATTTCAAAGTTAGCCCATTTGACAGTATAATACTAAATATGAAGGTGTCCAATATTATATGAACTCAAAGCTAAAAATTGTATAAAAATATTGTTTAAAAGAAGAGTGTATGATATACTGTAATAACTAATAATATAGTTGAACGTGGTAGTATCAATAACAGTAAAGAATGATAATAGCATGATTCTAGTTATTACTTAATTATCGTAGTTGGTGTGTTAAAACTATTATTGAAGACAATCAATAGAGATGATGTAAATCAGCCCTTCAGTGTTAGTGGTTGATATAAGATTGAATGAAAAAAAATGAACAATTTTACATCCTTCTATTTCATTAACTTAACATGCTACAGAAGGTGATGACCCTCTTGGGAGGCAAAGATGGTTCTTGACAAAACCAATAATGGGTGGGCACCAGACACCCTACCAATGAGAAAATCACAAGAAAAATCTTAGTGGCACCCTGGGGATAGAACCCCGTGCACCGAAACATACGTTTCTATCCGCTAAGCTAGGCCGGTCCTATTAGTGGTTGATATAGGATTATTAAACTAAAATAAAAGATTTAATGTTGTACAAACGTGTATATTATAAACCAAAAATTAGTAATTTATCAAAAGGATATTTTAAGCTAAGTTTTAAATTAATAATAATAGTAACAAGACACCAACCTAATCAATAAGTTAAGAGTTATAATTTCGCACAAAGATAAACTATAAAATAAAGTGAGAGAAATAAACTGACCACTTATGTGTGATTACAAAAAGAGAAGTAAACAGTATAACAGCTTTTTGACAGATAAGTGATAGACCAGAGCCTACACCCAGAGAAAAACCTCGATCTATATAATAAATTCATTGTTCAATTTGATAAATATATCATTACTATTGAACCTATGATATATTTATCAATATGATATTTTTTTTTCTTGTCTTGAACAATAATTATTTATAAGAATAGTTATTTTGTTTGTATTAATAAAACATTATCATAAACCCTTGATAAAATTTCTCTATCAAAATTGATTGAGGTTTTTATTTGGGTGTAGTGGGCTTTTAACTCTTTTATAGTAAGCTAATGAGTATTAAATAATAAACGAAAAAGAAATAAATAAAAAAAAAATATAAGGAATAGTAATATTATATGTAATAAATAATATGCTTTAATTGCACAAAATCTATGACTGATTTTATTTGTAAAAGATTCTAAACACTTTATATTTTATTAACTATATAATTTATAATATGTCCTTATTAATTTTTTTTACGTTTGTTAAATAAGTATTTTTTTTTTGAGAGAGTATATTTTATTAAGAGATCGACACCAATATTTCTTAAATCTTTCTCTGTCCTGTCCAAAACAACATTCAAAAATATTTATATGTAAATACTAAATCGAGGCGGTATTGTGGTGACCCAATGTGTCCTGGCGCTAGCGCCTTGAAAGGATGCGACACAATAATCACCAAGACAAAAATTAAACACTAATAAATATAGTTAAAAAAACTGAAAAACACGCTTTTAAAGCATATTGAACTAAAAAGTTAAAAACAATTTTTAAAATAAGCTAATAACAATAATGAACGAAAAATACTAGTATTATTGTGAAAAAAAAAAGTCGGGCACTCAATATACGAAAAATATGGCACAAAGCCCGCACGCTTTTATTCATAATAATACTAGGATTTTTCGTTCATTAATGTTATTAGCTTATTTTAAAAATTATTTTTAACTTTCTAGTTCGATATGTTTTAAAAACGTGTTTTTCAGTTTTTTTAAACTATATTTATTTTTCACTTTTTAGTTTTTTATGGCATCGCTGTCACCGTCACAGAGTGTTTATTGTCAATTATGACTAGCAATGGATATAATTTCTGTATTGCCAGTTAGTGTATTTATAAGCTCACAACAATGTGTTTATTACCATTGATAATAAAGGCTATATGCTTGCGAATATCGTAATAAAAAACTAATTTGCTACCTGTATTTGTGATCCCTTATGTATTATAAGTGTATATTAACTCAAAAAAATTTGAATCTTTAAATGTTTATATCTAATAATAAACAATAAAAATTTGTTTATATAAATTTATAATATTGATGATACGTACTCATGTACGGGTACGATAACCAAAAATTATACAGGAAAATAGTGTTGTCGGCGAGTGTTGAGTGGGGTGGTGTGAATGCGTTACGACAGTCTAGTCTCAAGGCCATAGACGACGGTATAACACGTGACTCGTGGAGAATTACAAACATACAGGTGAAATTAATATAAGCGTGTTAAAAATATATTCGTAATTTTCTCTGAGTTGTCTGTCGGTGCAATGTTTGTTTGTTAAAACAAAGATATTAGCGACGAGACTAGCTACCCAATAAGAAAAGCTCACAATAGATGTTTACTATTAAATAAAAATTTTAATTTAGGTTGGATTTATTATTAAAATAAAATAATTAAAAAAAAGATTTAATGTTTAAAATATTATTTGATATTTATTTTCGCAACAAGAAAAATAAAACATTATTATTGAAAGAATTGGTTTTGATGGGTAAAAATGGCTTTTTATAGTCAGAATGGTGTAATCTAGAGATCCATAGCGTTATTTTGGAAGCGGAGGCTTTCTATTCTAATTGGTTAATTATAATGAGGGCCCCGCGTTACATAATAATCTCTGCAATAAGTAGATTTTATCCAATAATTAACTAGTTATTTTGTATTGTAACGTACACATTATTCGTCCTTCACCAACATTAACATTTCAATACCACACTAGTGCCTGATCAGCACAAACGTCCCTATGACCTACTACAGATATGCGGCACGCGCGGGTGTAAACAAAACCGATGATATTCTTTTTCATTAAAGAAATATATAACGACAGTCAGTCTACATTTTACCACGCTCGCGGCTACTCATTTTTTATTACAGATTATACATTATTTACTACAACCTAATTCCGACAATATTACATTTTACTATTAATTTAATTATTAGATTTATTTTATTACAATCGGATTGTGTACGCTCGCCGCTGTCGCTCACCTAACTTGGATACCACAACATCTCTAGAGATCCAGTCAGGTTATATTTAAATATACTATTAAATAGAAATAAATGTTTGTTATCGTTGTTAGTTAGGAGTCTATATTTATTGGTCACGAAACCGCTAACCGCCCTTCTAGTGGGATATAAATTATATAGGGCCAGCGTTGCCCCGTTAAGGTACAGCTTAGCCAACTGTTAGGATCCTAGCGGGAAAGCACGTTGCAGTATTTTAAATGAGAGAACCCTGTTTTAGTGATCATGTATATTCATAATATGTGACATACATGTACAAATTATAACATAATCTTATTATAAAATAGAACAAGGAAAAAAACGATTTTCTGGGAAAATTACTTAGCGTGCTCGGATTTTCAAAATTTTTTTTTTCAACAAAAGTACTCCGTCATCAGACTCCGGGAAAATTATTGGCGAAGGTCGGAAAATTTTTGCCGCTCACCCGCGAGCGTTTTAAAATTTCGACCATTTTCGAGAAAAACGATCGCTGACGCCAGCGTTTTACGACTTAAGGTTTGAAATTTTCACCAGAGCCGTTCAATTTTCACCGTTTTGGTTTTAATATGCACATTGACTCATTTCTGCTCATACGTTTATTCTGAACCTTAATTATATGGTGTAATATGTATTTTTATTAGGACACTATTTTGTATTTACACATAACACTATATTATATCGAGAAATATTATATGTTACATATAAATTTTAAGACGGTTATAATTATATAAGTTTCTACTTTATCAGTTTATGTTTATCAGAATAGTACATTATTTATAATCTTTTTAACACGCTTATATTAGTTTCACCTGTATGTATGTATGTATGTTTATAACTCTCCAAACGCCACGCGTTATCGCATATTCCGTCGTCTAGACTAGATTGTCATAACGCATTCACCCCACCCCACGCCTCACTCCCTTCACGACGGTAACACTATTCCTGTATAAATTTATTTTTAGTTATCGTATCCGTACACACTCGCGTGTCATCAATATTAACACGCTTATATTAGTTTCACCTGTATGTATGTAAATATGTATGTATGTATGTATGTATGTATGTATGTTTGTTTGTAACTCTCCAAACGCCACGCGTTATCGCATATTCCGTCGTCTAGACTAGACTGTCATAACGCATTCACCCCACACCACGCCTCTCTCACCACACGACGACAACATTATTCCTATAAAAATTTATTTTTAGTTATCGTACTCGTACACGCGTGCTTATCATCAATATTATATATAAATAAACAAATTTTTATTTTGACTGACCAATACCATCCGCGTATCATACGGCTTACGTATATATTCCTACCGCCGTTTATACCTCAGGTATAACGTTAGTCCGACCCGCCCGCCCAAAAAACACAGCTATACCTAGTGCATGATACGTTTACGTACTTAAGTCGCATTATTTGTATATATATTCTAATTACTATTACAATTTATATATTAACACGATTTATTCTAATTAAGAAATATAAAGTATTCATTCCGATTACGAGGGATGATTCCCGTATCGTCATTTTTCGTCACTACCTCCATGTTCCGGGAGTGGGTAATTTACGCGCCTGCTGCTTTCCTTGGATGTGATAGCCGTTTCTCAGATTCCCTCTCCGGAATCG